TTTGGTCTGAGACAGTAATATTATTATTTTCATAGTTGCGTGGCGCTTTTATTTAATTCCATCTAATAAAAGTTTATGGCGAGCATTATAGTGGAATTCAGAAGACATTGAGAAGATATAATCACATTATTAAGAAAAAGGTTAATTTTATTGGTACATTTTTGAGAAGAAAGTACAGCTGGTACAGGATTGAAGTGAGAGAGTTGGTTTGTGGTGTATCTTCAGCTTCTGAGATATTGGAGGTGAGGAAATGGGTGGAGAAGATGCAGGATGCGGATCAGAGACTGTTTGGAACCCGGGTTGTGTCTTTTGATGTGGAGGATGTGAAGGCAACTTACTTCGATACCCTGAGGATGGCCGGGAGAGCGACTATTGATCCCAGGAGTGCGGTTCTAAAGAGGAAGTGCGACCCTGAGATGATGACGGATGCCTCTAAGGATACGTTTAAGCAGATAGATTCCTGGGAAGATTATGTACGGGAATGGAGTGTCATGGACCTGCCTAATATCTCTAGATCTAAAGAGGAACAAGAGGAAGGAGTACGTGCTGGAGAGGATGACAGTGCAGCCAGAACTTCTTGAGTTTCTCTGTGATCTCCCTGTAGCTGCCGGACTTGCTGTTTGGAGAGATGTTCGGGGAGTGGAGGATTTCTACTCGTTGATCTCTGGTGAAGATGTAAGGTTGGAGAGAGGATTTCTGGATCTTACATCTCTAGCTATTTTAGCCGGATATAAGTTCCAGTCAAGAAACATGACAGCAATGGGAGTGCAGGTGATTGGAAGCCTACTGAACAAGAATGTTTCTACAGGGGATGACTGGTGGGGAGAGAGATGGCAGTTGATCCCGGAGTCCCTGAAGTGGTTAAGTGAATCCAAACTCTGAAAGATCTGTGTTGTGTTTTAGGTTTTGCTAGGAGATCAAGTCGCGGGGTGCAGAAGAACTTTTTTGTTTGCTCTTGGCTGGGCGAGTGTTATGCGAGCCATGCTGCGTGTATAAAGTCTGCTTGTCACCCCTGTGTATTTCTGAGTTCTCCCTGAAGATCTGTACGGAATGTATTGTGAAAGAACTAGTTTTAGGAACTGTTTACAGACTGACTACGCAGGCGCAAGATTTCTCGCGGAGTAGTGAATAGTTTATATCAGTATATGTTTATTCGTCTTGCAAGTTTTAACCGTGTCCAGAATTCTGGGATCACTGTGGTAATTATTTTTTATATATACTTATGCTTATCGTTTGATTATAGTATGATTGATATTTATATATGTGTTTGTTGGTTCCTCGCCATAGTTTTTTAATGCCTGAGTGAATTATTTGTTGTATTCATATGATTTATCACTCAAAGCTTTTTCTGTGGGTTTATTAAACTTATTTAGATTGAAGACTCAGAGAAATAAACGTTCGGAACCTTATTATCATCCTTTTGTTATGAAGAGCCTTGAGAGAAGGGAGTCTTACGATCCGGTCCTGAGAAATACCACACGGTACATATATTAGGTCTTTAGGGAAATCACTAAGTAGCGAAACAAGAAGTCATAATTTTAATTTAAGGTGTACAACATTTAAATACAATAAAATAGGGATTAAAAAATCAGAGTTTCTGGCAAAAGCTCAATTCCTCTCTAAAAATTGGTAATGCAGAAGAGTTAGTTATAGCCCAATTGTTCTTTAATACATTTTTATAATCATGCCTCAGAATTTATAGTGAAATCTAATTTTCTAAACGAAAAATTAGCAATGACCAATCTTCATAGAGAAACTGATTATAGAAAACAAAATCTTTCAGAAAAGACTAAAAATTGCAGTGACTAAACAAAAACCATTTGGAAGCAAAGTTTACAACTTTATTAGAACATCAGATAAACTAAATTTTTGTTGGTAAAAATGATTTTACATACCTCGTAGCCATTTGGTTTTTAACCTCACCGTAATCGTATCGATCATCTAGTCCAGCTAGGTAGCTTAAATACACATCACTGCAGAATTATTTTATAATTTTGTCAGCCCCTGTTTTAGACTTGAAGTGAACATTTCCATTGCGTTTCTGCAAGGCCTGGGCATCGTTTCTGGGGAACAATCTTACTTTCACAGGATCAAACAGAATCAGCAAAAATGATGGCATTGTTCCAAAATAAAAACGACCACATAGAATATTTTAACTATCTATAAATTACCAAACGTAGAGGTAGAGATAACAATTATTGATTGAAAATAATGTTCCGGAATCACTAAAGTTTAAATTCGGAAACTCAAATATTTTTGACAAATGTGAAATATGTTATTGCATCCATTTTTGGTAGGGTTTTCAAATGTGTAAGTTTTAGATCTGTATCTCAAAATATAAAAAGTTCGGGACTATTTTTGCTGAAACCCCTTGTTTTAAAATAGGAAACAATCAAAACAGTTAACAATTATTTGCAAAGAACTGTTTTCTGCAGTTTTCCACAAAGAATGGAATGGAACGACACGGAATAGAACAGGGATTGAACAATTAGAAAAAATGGAACGTGGAACAAACGATCTAGCTGTAGTATTAAAATACAAAAGCTATATTTTAATTTGAAACTTTGTTTATTTTTTATTTCAGAGTCAAAATTTAGCATAGTATAATGAAAACAAATGAATTTTAAATTGTGTATTCTAAGCATAACTTTTTCTTACACTATGTCAGGTTTAAGCCATAAACAGAAGTTATGCCCAAAAAACGACCCAAAAACAACTGAAAAAACCCCCAAAAAAGACCGAAAAACGTCCAAAGAAACGACCAAAAAACGACATAAAAACTGATTCAAAAAATAATTGCTACGTCTAATAAAACCAAAGTTTAACAGTTTTGAAATCTTTGAAAAGTTTTTTTTTCTAAAAACAATCCAAAACGGTTAACATTAATTTTAATTTTTAATCCTTTTTTATATTTAGTATCTGTTCAGCAAACACTAAATAAAGGTATGAATGCAAATATAAAATTTTATTTTACTTTTACTATTATCTTGGTTTCAAGCCTATGTGACAAACTTAAAACTGCCATAACTTTTTTAATTTTAGGGCCATAAGCATTCAATTAATTTCCATTGATCATAAATGTCTAAAAGGTTCGAAACTATTTTTATCAAACTATAATGAAAGCTTTATTACAATCAAGATCCTTTTTTGGATATCAGGACACAGTAGTAAATAATAAAAAACCAATATTTGAAATGGCACACTTATTCATAAATAAACATCTAAAGGATTGAATCCAGCCGACTGGGGATGTTAACGTTCTTTGAAAAACGATTGTATGAAAACGACGATGAAAAATCGAAAACGAAAGTTTTTTGAAAGTTTGTTTTTTAAAAACGATCATTTTTATTAAGCTCGTCATTTTTTAAATGATTGTTAATGACGACCCTTCATTAACGATCGTTAACTGTTAGGAAACCCACCTGAAGGGCATCTGTACTTATCATTGAGTAGTTTTAAAGAAAATATTAAGAAGTTTTAGCTCCCCCACAACTGTTTAACTTAATGTAAGACACCATTCTATAAGGTTGCATGTAATTTTTTTTTCAAAAACGATTGTTATTCGTTTCATAAAAGTTCAAAACATGTGGGTCTTTTTTAAAAACTATAATTTTTTTCTGAAAACGAAACGATCATTTTTGAAAACGATCGGAAAACAAAACAAAAAACTATTGTTTTCAAAAACGATTAACAGCCCTAAAGCCGACTATGAAGAACTAACTACCGTAGAAAATGCCACATTCTGAGCCACAAAGCCAACAACTCCCCATTCTGTAACTCCAATGGCTAACCTTAAAATGCAGCAGAACTCGGAAAGGGTAAAAACCTGGGATAAAAACAGGATTCCTTCCATACTGGAGTCCCCCCCTTTATACATAATTCAAATTTGTAACTCCTATTTGTCGCAAAAAAACATTTGGAGTCGATTTCTTAGTGGACAAATGCTGTTTGATCTGTCTTTAAGATAACCAGGCGGAACCAGGATTGGGACTCAAAACTCAAATTAAATTTTAGAATGACATTTCAATGTTTTTTTCTTCAAAATTATCAGAAGCAGGGACAGCTGACAGAAGGAAAACAATGTCTGTATCATCTGTATGGTGCCATGACAAACTCCTGAAAGACAAACTCCTGAAAGACAAACTCCTGAAAGACAAACTCCTGAAAGACAAACTCCGGAAAGACAAACTCATGAAAGACAAACTCTTGACGAGACAAACTCCTGAAAATACAAACTCCTGAAAGACAAACTCCTGAAATTATGAAATTTTTCTCTGAATGAAATATGATAAAATTCATAAATTTAAAATTCAAAATAATAAATTGTTAAAAAAGTATATATAAATAATTTTCCTTATTGCATTGTTCACCATGGTTATGTGATTCTCTACCCCATTCAAAACTGAACAAAATATTTTCTTTAATTATTCTTATAAAACTTAATCATTCATACTTAAATCATGGTTCATTTTATTACGGATATTCTATTAAGTAATCATAAAGTTCTCGGACTTTCTCACAAATATTTCTTGATTTAGAAAAAATCTAAATAAACTTTTTTGACTTTTTTTACTTTGCAAAAAATCTTGTTTTATCTACAGTGGTAGGCAATTATATCAATACAATGAAGACGACTTTCGAACTTAATTAGTTGATTTAAATTAAGCTGTCAAACAGCATGGATACACAAAAACAAAGAAGTCAAGAGAATTTATCACTATAAAAAAGCTTCTCTTCGCTCAGGACAAAATAAATTGAAAAGGCTTGAACCTTCTTGTAAAGAGAAAATATGTCTGTTGAACTTTCTAGCACCAGGAACCAAAATAGTAAACAGTTTTATAAATAGTCATCAAAATTATCTATTTTTTTATAATTTCAATTATTTGCATTAAGCAAATGTTTTCTATAATTTAAGCTTTATATCCTTAATTTACTCATTTAAAAAGCACTTAAAAATGGAAGTAATATCATGTGACAAAAATAATTAATATATTGTAACATTGTACTTTTTGAACTTTTTTTATACCACCCATAGTTTTATGACTGTTAAAGTATGAGTTCTATTTTATTTTTTTTTATTTTTAATGAGCTAAAAATGAACTTCTTGTATCGCAAACACTATTTCCATTTTTTACCTCGCCATTGCAGTGTTCAATGTGTATTGTGCTATTTGCAAAGATTACAAATGTTTTCAACGAAAAACATAATTTAGTTAATCTTCTTTGGTGTTTAAAGTTTACAGTCCCTACTAACCAGCACTTTTGTGTAGGAATACCATGTTCTTATAAACTGCATCTACAGACACTACTTTAACACCCCTAGACAATCAACATGATTTAAACAATTATTTATATTTTACATGTAATTTATAACTTTTTTATACGTTAGTTTCAAGGAATTTTTATTCAAATATTTTCATAGAAAATAGAATATAGTATAATGCACAAGTATGCAGTCTTGGTTTCTCTGTTTGCATGTCTGCAAACACTGTCAACATTTCTTGTTACTAAAATAATCGATTATTTTCAATCAATTTCATTTGAATTTTGTGTTTCACTAAACAATTACTTAGTAAACTTGTTCATTCAGTAAAAATACTACCGTTTTATAAAAAAGTTTGTTAATAAAAATCGTTCGTTCAGTAAGAAACATCCTTTGTTTTAAAAGTTTGTATTTAAAAATCGTTCAGTGAAAAAACAAGAATTTTTCCAGTTTGTTAAAAAAATTATAGATTTTAATTTGTTCGTTTTTAAATAACGTTTTTCATTTCTCTGAACAATCCAAGTCGTTCCTCCAATGTTAATTTTTTTTAATGAATGACACCATAATTTACACAAAATGTTGTTCGTTCTAAACCCATCCCCATCTTTGATAATATCGTCATTTTGAAAACAACGTTTGTTTTGTTTAACATTCCAGTAACTGTCATCTTTACTGGGCAAGGATTTGTGTAAATGACACTAACACACATATTCAAAAATTGTTTTTTTCATAAAAGATTAACACAAAATTGTTCAGTGCTAATTTGAAAGAAAAGCAGTCTTTTCCATTTGTTTAATACCTCCAGATAATTAGACTCTGCACTTGAGTAGATATGGGGCAAAGTAGGGTTGGGCAAAGTTCCTTTGACGGAACGGCCGGGTTTTCGAAAATTAACGAAAGTGTCCGTTAAAAAACAGCAAAAACTGTTAACTTTTAGGACATTGAAACAGATAAGCCATTTATGAAAAAAATGTAACAGCTAAAAACTGTGGTATTTTCACAAACCAAAATTAGCAAAGTAACAAGGTAGCAACTTAAACTAGCAACTTTGATAAGATCACACCTCAAGTTATATAACCTTTATGTAATCAATTATCTTTGCTAATAGATAACATCATACTTTGGGTTATCTCCATCATACGGATCAAACCTTTATACGATTACTTATCTTTGTAACCTGATAACATTGCACTTCGGGCTATCACCATCATACGGATCAAACCTTTATACAATTACTTATCTTTGCAACCTGACAACATTATACTTCGGGTTATCACCATCATACGGGTCAAACCTTTATATGCAACATTTAACACCTAAAGTAATAAATATGCTCTTATTAGATTAATCACATTTATTTACATATATTCAAAAATGTATACATAATCATAATAAGAAGATAATCTGATGACTTAATGATCAGCCATGATCCCTTTACATATTAGGTTTCTTAGCTTGATCTTTGAGCACTCAGTTAATTTACCAAGTCTTACGTGCATGACTGGCATATTATTCAGTCCGTCAATCAGCTCTTTATCTCTTTTATTCCAGGTTTGCTGGCTGACCCGCTCGTGCATGATCCGGAGCAGATCTACCACCTGCTTGAACAACCTGTTACTGATCTCATCTCTACTTGAGTCAAAATGCAGTTTGTATTCCCGCTCCCAAGCCCTCTCTGTGTCCCATACATTAATACGAGGGACTACAGGGGGCTGTTGGGAGCCTGCGCCTCCAGGAGTGGCGCGCCTGAGGTCTTTAACCTCCTTATGAAGATCCTCCAAGTTATTCAGGACGTTTTGCAGCATCTCCAATATATCCTCCAGTACATCACCATCATCCTCGTCCTCTATTACGTCCTCAGCTGCTTCTCCATCCTCTGAAGCTGGGGCAGTAACAATGGGAGCATTCCCACTGACTAGAGGAGCAAGGTCTGTTGGGTCGACTCTATCTTCATCCAGTTCTACTTCCGCAACATAAGCTGGGTTGCGTACTATAACAGCTACTTGATTCATCTTTTTCCAGGTAGCTTGTTCAAGTGGGTTCTCGCTGTATGTCGTACAAGTGCCTGAACGATAGTGGTAGACTGACGTGTATGGTTACGTGTCTACTCTTCTAAGGTTCGGGCTGTACTGACTGCTCTGGCATCTGTTTGTATTCAAGGGACTGTTCACTCTTATCAAGAACAGTCTAGGATACACAAAACGAAAAAAGAACAGATTCTTTTATAAAAAATGTGATTTTTTTTCCACCTCAAATTGCATTTAATTTGTAAAAAAATTAATGTTTTGAAGGTTTTAAATCTTGTGTTTTCAAAATCTGGGATCTCAGAATAAGATAATATAGTTGATTCTATCAGTCTGCAGAGATAAACATCGCTAATAATACAAATACCCTTAATGGCTGCACCGTTAATGATTTCATGAAAAGTTAATGAATACAGTAATACTGTTATTGCCATTGATACCGTAGTAGATCATTAATGGCTGCGCCGTTAACAATTTATTTAACTGCTAACAAATTTCATTTTGGCGCTTCAAGCTGTTAACGATTAATATTGTACAGGACCATTAATGGCTGCACCTTTCATGATTTCTTGAACAGTTTACGACTGGCGTTATTAACAGTTGTTGAAAATTTTCCATTAAAGCCGTTAACAAAATGTATAACGTAAACAAATGGTAATTTAAAAAAAGTAAATGCTGTTAACTAACGGACATGCCATTCTTAAGTTTAAAATTAACGGCTACTTGAAATTTTACTTTTTGACTGCTGAAACTTACCGCTAACAGAACAGCTAGAAAAAGTGCCAAGCCCTAGGGCAAAGTATCAAGGAAATACATTGTTCTATGGAGGGTCTGGGGAAGAGGGGATTACAGGGCCTTGAATAATGCAAAACACCCAATTCAAGTGACACTGTCCAGAAAATGTAAATAATGAGACATTTTTTAACAAAAATTGAAAATTTGTCAAAAAGAATAATGATGCGAATAGTTTTTACCTTTGAGCAGCAGGCAAACTGAAGAAACCTGTGTTTGAACCAACGTCTGAAACAAGTAAAGTCAGATGTTATAAGAAAATAAACATTATTTCATTACGAAAACTATTTTTTTTCAAAACGATTATTTCAATCTTTTTTTCTGAAGATCAATCATTTCGCTTTGAGGCAAAACGGTTTCCAAAATGAACACTCAAAATGGAAAACGATCGTTTTGGGAAAATAACTAACCTAGAAATACAGCTTCAGGATAAGCTTCTAGAATACTCAAAACTAGTTTCACTTCCACAATCTCAGTCGGGATCTAAGCAATGTGTTTATGTAAACAATTTTCATCTTGAATGTACTATTTTCATAGAGAATAGAATATATATTAGAGTGGAATTTAAAGAATCTCTCGGTATGAATTTTTTCAGTCCCTTTCAGCCTGAAAGGTAGTTTAAAGTTTCCAAATCATGTAAATGTTCACAAATTATATGCAGTAGAGTACATTAATACAGTATGTTTCCTAGACTATTCATTTCAATTTCGAATTTTTTAAACTGTTAAATAAACTTTATAAAATGAATTAGGTGAATAAAAACCATCATTTGATTTATATTTAGAACGGAAAATCATCGTTTGTAAAGTGGAAGGCATAGAGTTTTTGTGAAATGATCATTGATGAATTATGAAACCAGCCTATTTCATAATTTGGTTTTCTTTTAACAACAATTTCTATTTATATTGCATAAATATGTGAAGTACACCTGCAGTATGGAAACAGTACAACAAAATGGCCGTTTTACACTTTTTTCTAGTAAATTTCCCTCTAATATATATTCTATATTACAGGAAAAAGCAGCCATTCAGGCAGTGTGCCTCACAAAAGCAATTTTTTCCTCAAACTTTGAATCTTTATTTGACCCAATATATGTGGGACATTAAAAAAATTATTCCATTTTTCTTTTACATTTGTAGCTTTGAGCAGAAATCAGATCTGATGTACAGTAAATCACCGTTTTTGAAAACAAGAAATTGTACTTTAAAAACAAAATTGGTAATTTTCTGATACTAAAAAGATAAGATGACAAACATAGTTTATAATAAGCATCATCCCCTGAGCCTGGTACAAATAATTAAATTCCATATTATGTTATTTTCTTATTTTTTTATTGGTTTTTCAGGGACGAAATAGAATGCAAAATTTTTTTTTCAAAAATGTTTTGCTGTATAAAACATACCAGGGAGCGGAGGGAATGAACAAGTTAGAAATATTTCTAAAAATTGTCTCGTTGATTTTTGATAGTTTTCAAAATATTTAAAGACTCTGCAATACAAAAAAAATCATAACAAAATTAATTGAACCATTTTTATTTAACACACATAAATATACACATCATACTACAAATTGTACAAAATGTGTAGTCGATAACAATTTTGAAAACCAGAAACGGACCCAAAAAATGAGGAAACCGATCAACGAACTGAGAATTTAAAACTTTTTTTGAAAACCGGAAACCGACCCAAAAAAAAAAGAGGAAACGTACCCAAAAAAGAGGAAACGTTTCTTTTTAAAAAAGGGGTTTTTAAGGGGGGGGGCACAATGTCGCCAAGGGGGGGGGACATACATTTTTTTTTTGCACGCTGACGCTCGCTAAATGCCGAAGGTAATGCATTTTTTGTAGAAAAAAGAATGACAATGGTCAGGCAAAGGTTTCATTAGATGACTGGTATGAGACTTTTTTCATATAAATTTATATTCATATATTCAAATAGATCTAATTCACTTTATATTAATTTCATGTAAATTGTAAATCCTCTGTGTAAGGCAAACTGAATTTCTAGTTGAGTGGTTACACTTACAACTCCGTCATAGCAGAGAGTTAAAGGAACTCCAGTTTGTGTCAAGTATTCAGGAAGAGACGTACACCACCCATTAGCCTCAGGTAAATCAATACCTTAAAGAAAAAGTAAATTAAACTGTTCGCGTTATTTCAAGAAAGAAGACAATGTCCGATTCACAACAGTACTTTTAAAATCTTTGCTTGATAAAGTAAAAATTAGATATCAATGTTTGTGTTTCTTTAACCCTGTCTCTGCTGGGGTACTTGAAAACCAGGATATGCTGGGGGGGGGTCAATTTGACTCCCCCTCTAAATCCCATGTTTGATTTCAAAATATGACAAATGATACATCCTTGGAAAGCTCTTGTGCTCTACTTTTAGAATCTGCAAAAAAAATTTGCAAATTTGCAAAAATTAAATTTTTTATCGCAAAATCCAGTTATATTGTAAAAAAGTTTGCAAAAAAAACTTGTCCAAAAAATGAAAAATTATAAATTTTTGAAAAGCCCTTGACCATGCCATTTCAAATATGCAAAAAAATGTTCAAAATTTTAAATAACCTGATTTTTAATCAAGAAAAACTAAAAATGTGCAAATTTCCTTTGACAGGTTGTTTGCAAAATTTTTGGAATTTTTTTTCGCAAAATTTGTGCAATTCGTTTCCTTATGTCAAAAGGCTTTCCAAAAAGCTAAATTTTATCAAAATTTGACAAGTGAAAGTGGGTCAAAACAAAGAATAGTTTGTTACAGGAAAAAGCAGCCATTCAGGCAGTGTGCCTCAGGACTCAGGCAGTTAGTATTAAAGCCCGGTTTTAGGCCTAAAGGGAGGGCTTTGGGTATGTAGGAAAAGTCAGAAAATTACAACAGCCTCAGACCAATATTTTTTGAGTTATGTAAAAAAAAACTACAAGGGGGGTCAAATTCACCCCCCCCCCCAGCAGGAATAGGGTTAAACTGTATATTTTCAATTGCGGGTTCTTGGAGGAAGATTTTTTTATAAGAAGCAATGGAGAAATTATTATATGAATTGAACACTAATCAAGCAGGAAATACGACCATATCATCCACACTTTTATCAAATTAAATTTTCAAGGGTACCATTGTAAATCGGACATTGCCATCTTTGCATGGAGCTTAGAGGGTCACTTAAAACTACGTTGGATTCCTAATAAGTAGTAACAACTATACATTTTAGACCCTTTTCTCAAGAAAAAGAGGAAGTGAGTTGAAAAAATGTTAAATTTTGACAACTTCTTGGTCTGTTTTGGAATATATTCGCTTTTATTAAGAAACCACAAATTAACAATTTGTAAAAAGCTATTTGATAATTTTTCCCGGGTGATAAAAATATTTTCTCAAAAAAAGGGTTTTAAAAATTTTGAAATTACATTTAATTTTCCTTTTTTACCATTAAGTACATTTAAACTGTATCCTGAACTGGATCTCCTTAGTATGCCTAAAAACAAATAATTAAAACTAAGAAATGCGAAGTATGAAGAAGAAATTTCAAATTATAGATAATACCACTGAAGCATTGAAGATTTCATTAAACCCAATTTTAAGTGTTTTAAAAACATTAAAAGGAACCAAAACTATTTTTAATCAATCTACTTTCCTTTTTTGGGATATTTTTTATAATGTTTTTTTTTGTTGTAATTAATGTCTAAAAATTTAGCATCCAAAATCAATTTTAATCTTTTTTGGGAATTTTGTAAAGTTTTGTAATTAATGGTCCTTTTCTGTAATAATTTTACAAAAAAAGAGAATTCAAGATTTAAAAAAATTATACATATCACTTAATGTAATTGTATTTGTTTCTTTTCCTAGAATTATAATTATAATCATCAGCAATAGTCCAGTTAGAATTTTCTGAATTAGAAACTGTTTTCTCATTTTTCTGAAAAATGATGGTTTAAAAGTGATTAAAAACTTCTTAAAAGTTACATTTTTATTTTTAAAATAGATTTTACAAAATAGTCTTTATCAAAGTTTTTAAGATTTTATATTCCGTCTGTATATCTGATTGAAGCAATTATGATTTGTTATAAGTCGACCGTCCTTAGTATACAATAAAAAGAGTATTATACTGATAAGAAATTGAGTTCTGTAACTATGTAAAGTAGGAAGCTTTCTGAAATAAATGTATCATTTACTCTCCGAAAATTTTAAATCAATGGAAATTCAACCCCCCCACTTTAAATAATTTTTTTAAAATTTGGGGTTAAAAGGACAAGCATAGATCATTTTTGGGCCGAGCAATGTATATTTTTTGTGATATATGATAGTGTGTAATTCCTGAGAACCTGGTTTATCTTTAAAAAAGGGGGTGTATAGTTTATAGATTTTTAAAAAGAATTAATTTTCATTATCAATATTTCAATTATATTAAAAAGATATAAACATAAATTATAGAAAACAATTTCTTTCAACCTAAATCCCCCCACCCTCAAAGGAGACGGAGGCTGGGGAAGGGGGGGTTGTCAGGTGATCGAATAAAAAATCTTTAAATTGTTTATAAATGATTCAGCATAAATTTCTGCAAAATTGTGCTAAATATCGCAAATCTTCAATAATCTAGGCTTCTTCTTGTGCTAGAAACCTCTCTAACCAGATTGCCTTAGCTTTACCGGTCTTTTCCTGCCTTTTAATTGCGCCCAGTCCAGTTTAATCTTATTGTTGCAATTTTGCTGCACAAAATAATGGCGAGATATTCCAGTAGAAAAAGGGAGGTTACACACTCCTTAATAAGTTCCCACTCTCAGGAGAAAAATCCAAACAGATTGAGTTCCACAAGCATAGCCTCTCCCATGTTCTCAGCGTCCTTGGATAACTCGTTTAGGTCGAAAACCTTTACCATCAAACTGTTAGATCCATAACTGCAGTTATCTTCCATGCATAGGGAATTGAGAATCCTTTGATGTTTAACATTCTGCAAATTGGGGAAAGAGTTAAATTGCTCCCAATTCTGTAACTTCAATTTTTCTCTGGATGGACCTCGGAGTCTTTATTTGCAGGTCTTCCTGTGCTACAGACACCCAGATTTTCTCGGCTGGGATAATTGCTATTACAAATCCTATGTTCCACGTGCGTAGAAATCACTTGGGAATCAAGGTCAGCAGTGTAAAAAATTTCACTTTCTGCTACTGGTACTGCAACAGTGCAATATTTGAGTTCCACAATTGGTACTATCAAAAGAATATTCGTGGATAATTAACCCTATTCTATGGACAAACAACCCTTTCTGGCGGATAACAGGGTGTGTATAATCCTTGTCACTACCAATCTGCATCCAGGTTGTACTAGGGCTGGGCATGTTCCGACCTTTTTTGAAATTGTTCCGTTCCATTCTAGAACGAGGGCCTTCAGCTAAATCGTTCCGTTCTCATTCCTCTTTATTTATCGTTCCGTTCTCATTCCATTCAGTCCTGTTCCATTCCGTTCTGAGTAGAAGAACGGTCTTCCCGTTCCATTCCGTTCTTGGCATTCTTAGTTGAAGAACGGTTGCATCCCTCTTGTTCTGTTCTTAATCAAGAACGTTTCCATTCCCCGTTCCGTTCTTAGTAATGAACAATTCCAACCAAGACAAAACTTTTATTAACTTAAAAATTACGGTTTTTTTAATAAAAAGTTCCTCACGGCCGTAAATAATACTTTAAATTATATATTTTAAATTTAGGGTTAAAAGAATAAGCTTAGATAATTTCTGGGCTGAGCAATGTATAATTTTGTGAGAGCGGGGGGAGGGGCGTGATCGTCCTTAATATGTAAGATATACAGAAGTCATAAACTTAAGCCTGCTGTGTGTCTGAGTGTTGTCAGTTTAGCAGAGATCGGGTACAAAATATTCCACATTTGCGTCAGATAAAGGTTTCAAGAGTACTGTTATTAATCGAACATTGCCATCTTTGCATGAAGGACAGAGGTTTACTTGAAAATAAGACTGGGCACATTCCAACTTTTTTCAAGTCATTTGTTAACAGTTAATTACAATCATTACAACGTTCGTTATGTAAACGGTATTTTTTGGCGTGCTACAACTTGAAAGGAAAAGAGTTTCAAAACGATTGATTTTATTTAAACTCCCAATTCTATAAAGTAAAAATATCTGACTAATAATATCACATGCTAGTCTCAGCTGATCCGTAAACGCCCCCTTGGATTTCTCTAGAAGTATTTCGGAAGACGACATTCATATCCGCCACAATTTTCTGTTTTTTTAAAGTCATGGTCAGTTAACAATTACAATTCTATTAACGCTGTTAAAAAAGTTCTGAAATTGTTAACGGTGCCTTTTCAATGGGAAAAAAATTGAAATTGAAATTGTTAAAGCCATTATACATGGAAAAAAATTTAAGACTACATTAAAAAATGTCAAAACATTGGATGAGACTTTAAGAACAGTAAAGATTATTTGGCTAAAAACTGCAGTTAAATTTGAAAGTAAAAAATCAGACCTTAAATTTTTTTGTACAGATCTTTTGTTGGTGACCCTGTATTTGACAAATAAAAAGACGATTCGTAGAACCGTCACAATATGTTAAAAACTCTTTTTTGTGCAGGTAGACAAAACAATAAGGCAGATCCCCTAAGATTTGGTCCATCAAACGTTGAAACGTATTTCCAGCATTCCGCAACCCAAAAGGCATCACCAGGAACTCGAACATCCCGAAAGGAGTGATGATGGCGGTCTTCTCGATGTCCTCCTCCGCTACTGGCACTTGGTAATATCCCTTCTGGAGATCTAACTTGGAGAAGATAGTTGAACCACTGACTCTTGAAGAAAAATCTGCGATGTTGGGAAGAGGATAGCGATCAGGCACCGTGGCGGTATTAAGACGGCGGTAATCACCGCAGGGTCTCCATCCTCCGTCCTTCTTCTTGACCATATGTAGTGGAGAAGCCCAGGGTGAAGTAGAACGGCAGATAATGCCTGCCTTTTTCCATGGGGGAGAACTCAGCTTTAGCTATAGCAAGTTTAGCAGGATCCAATCGGCGAGCTTTGGAGAAAACCGGCGGGCCAGGGTTGGTAAGAATGTGATGACGAACCTTGTGACGTGGAGTAGAAGCAGTGAAACCATCGGATTGTAGAACATCAGGAAACTCACTCAGGAGGTCTGAGACGCATTGTGGAGTAGAGAGGAACGCTGCCTGGAAAGATGAGGTTGGAGACGGATCAGAAGTTGGCAGCTCAATCTTACAACCGTTAAAAGAACTGTCAGAGAACACTTTCTTCCTGCTCACGCTCACATTCAGGTCATGATGTCGAAGAAAATCTGCACCAAGGATAGGAACAGATACTGGTGCTAACCGGAACGTCCAGGAACAATTCCATGTTCCGAAACGTAGAGGTATAGTTCTGGACCCGGAGCAAGTTACAGTTGATCCATCAGCTGTGATTAACCGAACGCCAAAAGATTTGTCTGAAGTAGGAGATGGAAAAACAGATATAGAAGCTCCGGTGTCGACCAGGAAACGGCGATTAGAGAGTTCATCATGAAGATAAATGAGAGAAGAACCAGTTGAACCGGCAGGCAGGGAAAATGCATCCTCCTGCCGGTTTCCTAGTTTCCCGACCAGGTACATGGAGCTTGACAACTCAGAGCCTTGGATCCGAACCTAGTGTGATACCAGCAGGTAGACGGGGAAGAGGAACGGCAGAAGGAAGCTGCTGGAGTCTGTGATCAGCGGGAAACTGGACTAGAAACTCTGCGGGAACGCTGGGAGCGACTAAACGCCCCCTTGGATTTCTCTAGAAGTATTTCGGAAGACGACATTCATATCCGCCACAATTTTCTGTTTTTTTAAAGTCATGGTCAGTTAACAATTACAATTCTATTAACGCTGTTAAAAAAGTTCTGAAATTGTTAACGGTGCCTTTTCAATGGGAAAAAAATTGAAATTGAAATTGTTAAAGCCATTATACATGGAAAAAAATTTAAGACTACATTAAAAAATGTCAAAACATTGGATGAGACTTTAAGAACAGTAAAGATTATTTGGCTAAAAACTGCAGTTAAATTTGAAAGTAAAAAATCAGACCTTAAATTTTTTTGTACAGATCTTTTGTTGGTGACCCTGTATTTGACAAATAAAAAGACGATTCGTAGAACCGTCACAATATGTTAAAAACTCTTTTTTGTGCAATTTTAAGCAGAAAAAAAACAAATTAGCTGTAATTTATTTTATAAATTTTCGTTTCTTCTTTTGTTCAACCTCGACATATACACCACTTTTAAACAAGATTTAAAACAACTTTTTATCAATTTTTTAGACAAAGGAAAAAAAGTAGGAGGTAAACTTTTTGTTGAAAAACTCGACTTTTTTAGTCGATTTTATGTTGACTTTTTTTCGTTCTTTGAAGTTGACTTTCTACACCACCATTTTACAATATATATTCATCGTTTATATCTATATTTATTTGGCCCAAACTTGGATGAGAAACTCGATTTTGTTAAAAAAAATTTATTCACGGGCAGCTGTAGTACATTTGAATTTCCGAGCCGGGTCAACCTTTCCGGTTCCAGTTTGTACTATATCGCCCGGACATTGGGTAAATAAAGCAGACACTCAATAGGACTAGCCGGTGCAATAAGGTTGACGCGGTCAGACTTTAGGTTGAATTTACTTTTACTAAAGGGTCCGAGTTCAAGTCTGCGAGTAGTATTACCGGTTCGACTTTTTACTAACTAAATTGTAGGAGTAAACATTAAAACATAAAAGATTTCAATTTTGCGTCCAATTCAATTTAGTTTGACATCACGTAACCAATGCAAGTTTTAAATTTAATTTATCAAAGAATATTATAATTGCATGTATCATGTCATTGTATTAAGATTACTGTAACATTTGAAACAATGTTAGCATTACTCTATAAAACTTTTTCTCAAACACATTTTCTCTATGTGTGCGATTTTTGCAGGAAAATCAGGTTTTATGGCAGAAACTCACATTGCAGAAAACACCAGCCAAACACTTATGGTCTGCCTAGTCATTAAACTATTTCTATTAGACTTTTCTAGATCTAATATTTTTCTAAAAATTGTACTGATTTCAGCTTTGGGTTTTTGTGCAAACACTTCTGAGATGTTTTGGAAGATTTGGAGTAAACAACACTACTGATGATATCAGAGAACAGGTTGCAAATTTACAGAAATATTATCAATTAGAATCATAATACTTGTTTCCTTAAAGGGACTTAGGACGTAGTTCTAAAAGTAGTTAAAAAAGTTGCATGCTATACGTTAAACCTTAGTCAAAAATGTTTAAAGGGAGTGACCGGCTATGTAAGTCAAAGTCAAACTAGAATTCATTTGAGACATATAAAACTTTTTAAAGCTCTGTAAATCCTGAGTTTGATCGCAGATTCGATGTTCAAAACTCCTACTTTGGGGGTGGATACTTCGAATTTGCGCTCAAACTCAGGATTTACAGATCTTTAAAAAGTGTTATATGTCTCAAATGAATCCGAAAGAAGTTTTCCACAACACTGCATACTCAGTTCAACTACCTTGCATAGCCGGTCACTCCCTTTAAGATATTCTTGTTTTTTTTTATCAGAAAATGAAGAAATTAAAATTTTGCTTCCCCTTGTTTACATTGTTTTTTCTGGTGTGGGGTATAATTGTTGTACAGTTTATACGGCATGGACATTTTCAAGTGGGGAGTGGCTTGCAATTATTTTCACTGTGCCTTAAAATTCAAAATTCAAAAACGCAAGAATCCTATCAGACACTAGTTTGACTTTATAAAAGGCAGTATATATATCTCTTAACTTAACTATACTTTGATAATAAAAGGTGTCAATTAGTTTTGTGTACAAAACTAGCAAATCAACTCCCAAACCTTTATTTTATAAAAATTCTTTCTATAGGTTTTCTTTCAAGAACTTGTGGAGCCAGCTAATATTCGATTTACAGGATTAAAATCATTTATTTACACATTATGTACAGAATTGAAATCAATTTACAATTGATTCACAGAATTATGATCAATTATTTTTCTTATTTTTATCTAATTTTCCAGAATTTAATCAATTTTGTAAAGTTTATTACTGGGCTTAAAATCAATTATTTTTATTTCATACTAGCCCATACAACTAAGGTGCCCATTGGGCTGGGCACATTCTGACATTTTTGTAAATCGTTCCGTTCCGTTCTAGAAAAAGGGCCTTCATCTAGATCGTTCTGTTCTCGTTCCTTTTTTACCATAGTTCTGTTCTCGTTACGTTCCATCCGTTCCATTCCGCTCTTAGTCAAAGAATGGTCATCCCATTCCATTCCGTTCTTGGTGTTCTCAGTCAAAGCACGGTTCCATCCCCCTGTTTCGTTCTTAGTCAAATATATAGAAGGGGAGAAGGG